CTTGAAAGGTCACATTTGGGAAATGCCAATGACCAAAAAATGACAAACTCTTGAAAGCTTTGAGGTTAAATCTAAAATCATCATAAAGTTAGTGTGTGTATAATATTTTGAGAAAAGTAGAATATCAAAAATACTAAGGGGCCGTTTGTTTACCTGTTAATTGCAAAATTAAAAGGTAATGTCTTAAAATTTTAGATTCAGAGCGTTTGTTTGCGTATTATTTTTTACCTCTTAAAATTAATAATGCCTCTTATTTTTTCAGATATTAAACAAAGTCTGAAAAATAAAAAAAGAGACGCGCTCGTTTCTATTTGCCCTAAAGGATCGACCGCCTCCTTTCTTTTCTTCCCTTCCCGTCTGCTTGCTTCGCATCTTCTTCTCTTCAGTTCCGACGACACCGCCCACCGACGACGCCAGCAATGCGGCCTTCCTCCGCCACCGTAAGGTCTTCCATCTCCAAGTCGTTCTTCCGCCGACCGCAACATGTATTATTTTGTTTCTTCCTTCTTTCCCCTCGAATTCATTGGTCTTCTTTTGTTTCTTCCTTCTTTCCCCTCAAACTTGAAAATCAAACATCGAAATTGTTATGTTATCAGTTTCTTTTGTTCAATCAAAATTCAATATTTGATGTTATGCTCGATTTTGATGTTATATGCTCGATTATGATGTTATATGCTCGATTTTGATGTTATATGATCGAATCTGAATGTGTTCAATGGATATGATCAAATGTTGATGTTGAATTTTTATGTTATGTTTGATTTTTTATACTCAAATTTTAATGTTTAATGTTTTTATGTTTGAGTATTATGCTGAAATGTTGTTGCTGACATAATATTTGTGTTTGATGTTATAGTGAAATCATATATGTTCTTGCTGTTATCATGAAATATCCATTAGTTTTGCTGAATTGTGCATTTGTTTTGTTGAAGTAGTTGTTGAAAATGTGCCTTTATATTGCTTAAATTGTTGTTGAAAACGTGTATTTGTAATGCTTAACTTGTTGCTAAAACATACATTTTTTTGTTGAATTGATCAAAGAAATGGGAGAAAAGAAGGATATGATTAGTTGGAAGGTTGAAGGTGTAGAGAAAACGTTTCTAGAAGCTTATTTACGTGAAGTTACGGTCAATGGATGTGAAGGGAGTAGTTTGAAAGCACAAGTCTAATGCAACCGTGCACTACAAGAAATTATAATGCAATGATGATTTTTTTGCAATGATGATTTTTTGCAATAGAAATTATAATGCAAACGAATTCTAATGCAACCGTGCAATACAAGAAAAAGGGCCATCGGTGACTAACATATTAGAGACTGATTAATCAGTCCTATATACCATGTATCTGGGACTGACGAATTAGTCTTTGATATTATCTAGGACTGATTTTAATGTATGATTCATTAGAGACTGATGAAACCTATTAGAGACTAAAACCCGGTCCTTAATCAGTTTGCGCCGATTTAGATTTGGTGTGAAACACATTGGGGACTGAATTTTAGTCTCGAATAGGCTATCGCCAATTTTGACTTTAGACGGAAAGTTATTTGGGACTGAATTTCAGTCCCTGATAGACTTGTGTCAGTTTTGATTGTGTAAGAAACTTATTAGGGACTGAATTTCAGTCACTAATACAAGTGTATCGATTGTTCCTTTGAATGAGAAACTTTCTAAAGACTAAATTTCTATTCCTATCAAACATTTACTATTTGACATTCAAATGAACACTTACAACTGACTGTATTTTAGTATCTAAGACTGAGTAGTTAGTCATAGATGCCATATATCAGAGACTGATTAATCAGCCACAAATAGTATTTGGAAGGAAACTTATTAGGGACTGAAGTTTCGTCTAGGATAAAATACCTATTTTTTGACTTTGGAGGGAAAATCCTTATGGACTGAAATTTAGTCTTTGAGAAATGTTACTTAATCACATATATGGTATATATATGGTATATTAAAGACTGATGAATCAGTCACGAATTTTACTACCCAAAGCAAGGGATGGTATGATACTATTCGTTTTGGTGAATAGTTTTCGAGTTGGAACCCATACAATGCAACGAGGAGGGTGAATAGCAACATACTTTCATTAGTTTGGTGGGGGTGGGAGTCGAGGTACACATGGGGTATATGGGGTAAAAGCGGGAAGATATATGTATTTGGGTCAGGGTAGGGTGGTCTAGGGACATATGGGGGTGGGTGTGTGTGGGTGTACACCCAGGTAGGGGTAGGTGTGGTTAGGGGTGGGTGTATTTGGGGGTTTAGGACATGGTAGGATAGGGTATGGTGTTCGTGTGGGTTTGTATGTAAGGGCGGGGCTAGGTGGTAGTGGTGGGGGGATTGGCAATGGCAAATCTATATTTTTTTATATAGGGTTACTAGTGGTTATTTATATGGTCGGGTTCGGTCAAATGACAATAATAATTGGGTGGGGCAAAATGGTGCATTTTTTCATTTAAAGAATAAAATTGAAAGTAATCTATAAATAATAAGAAAAATATTTCAATTGTATGCTACAATTTTCATTTTATAAATTGGAAACATGATATTACCTAAACCATTTTATAAGTCGGAAATATAATATTACCTTAAACAATTGAAGAATTTTAGAATGCGAAGTTTGATTCAATAACTTTTTAATTTTATCAAATTTATTGATTCAATAAGTTTAACTTTCAAAATTTAATCAATTCATAATACTAACAAATTTAGAAAAATTATATAAACAATTTTCAAAATCCATGTATTTATTAAAATCATATAAAAATTGAAAAAAAAAGAGAAGAAAAGAGAAGCGTGCATATGGAATTATGGATCACATAACTGAATCAAATGAAATTGCGAAATTAACGAGCCTACAATCACTTCCCAAAATCAATGATTATGAAATCTATAGACGAACGGTTTAGCCAACACTAAACCTTATCAATACCTTACGAGAGGAACCGCTACCAAAGGAACTCTACAAGCATCGAAATCCAAGGCTACAAGATACATTTATTCGTGAAACATTGGTCGATCTGAGGTAAGTAATCGTCTTCTCTCTTGCTTCATTAGCTTTTGTTATTTGATTTCATGTTGGTCGTGGCTTCTTTGTTCGGTCAGTGTTATTTGATTTAGAGAGACTAGAATCACAAAGAACTAAAGAGCTTTCATCAATATCCACTTTGTTTGATGAACACGAGAACACCCAAACTTAGACTTCTTTTCATCAATCATATCTATAGAGCTTTAGCCTTTCTTTCTTTATCAGAAAAAAACCCATAAAAAATCAAGCATGAATTCCACTGTGATTTCCAAAGAAGACAACTGAAAAGAAAACAAATCCTTCATTTGTTGTATTAATTCTCTCCGTCAATTCAGTTTATCTCTCTTCGTCTCTGTCTATCCTTACTCAATAAATGTTACCTCCTTTCATGGCATCTGTTGGAATGATCAAAATCTAGGACAGGTTTGACCCAGGGGTATTTTGGTAAAAACTATCCCATTTTTAGTTTTTGTGTTAGATTTGGATTTGTTTTAGTTTAGTATGAATAGGATATGTATCTATGACGGTTTAATTAAGTTTTATTCACATTTTTCTAAACAAATCTTGGAGTACAAGCAAAATTTCTCAAAAAAAATTTCCACTGTTTTGTTCTTCACCTGTTCCTCCTCTGTATCATGTTTTTCTGTCCATGTCCTGCTGTGATTTCTATGTTTGTTTAATTTTGTGTGATAATGTTTGTGAATTAAGTGAATTAGTTCTCAGATAAGTAATCTTTGTGCATTAAGTGAATTAGTTCCTACTCTGTATCATGTTTTTCTATCAAGCTATAAGTGCTTGTTGGGAATCATTCATTTGAATTCTAACGTATTAAGACCATATAATATTTAATATATTATACTAAATATGTATTATGTTGTACATAATTAAATTTATATTTTTTAATTCATTATGCTTTTTGTTTATGTTCTACAACGTCACAGTGAAAGTGAAAGTGAAAGCATTCAATATTTATTTAGGTTCCAGTGGATTGTGTCGATTGTTATTTTGAGACAATAAATCATCCGTTTTATATAGCTATTTCTGTATATTAGTTAACATGTAAACATGGGAATGTTTTTTTCGAAAGAACACTTAGCCGCTAATTTAATTTTAAACAACAAATCCAAGCGTCCTTTATTTTATATAAATGATGCATAATATTTCTAATTTAAAAGATATGTTGTCAATTTGTGGTATTTTTATAGTGTATTTTTAGTAATTATTTTTATTATCATTTTATAAATTTTGACAAGACATACCTATACAAAGAAATTCATTGGGGATTCAGCAATATCTTTTGCAACAGAGGTTGGAATTGTGATGGGAAGCTTTTGTCAAATGGAATTCCATACATAGGAGAAAGTAGCAAAACAAAATAAAGAAGAAATGATTAACAGATTACGTGTAATTTATATATCATTTTCCTCAATCTATTCATTTTTTGTCAAAATTTGAACTTCATAAATGGAAGTAATTTATTATTAAAATTTTATTAATAACGTTCAATTTTAATTTATGTATTAAATGTAGGAAAAAATTGAATTACCGCACGAAGATAAAGTTCTGATGGAGTATGTAAATGAACAAATGCGGAGGCAATGGAAACACACACGAAATATTTTCAAAGATTATTGGAAGAAACATGGAGGAATGACAGATCCATAATTTGCAAGATCTAAAATGAAGCCAGATTGTCGTAGCGAAGAAGATTGGGGTTATTTGTGCAATTATTGGGAATCGGATAAAGCGAAGATAATTATTAAATTCTATAAACCTTATAATTTCATTTTAGAATTCTTATTCTATGTCTTGTAGTATTATAAAACATGCGTTGTCAACTACACAAAAATATACACCTGTAAAAAAATTCTCTTAATCTTGCACATACACACATTTTATGTAATTAACTCTTATTTATATATTATTAACCACGTATAGTTCAAATTTTGTAGCAATATGCTGAACAAATGAAACATAATCGGGAAAAACTTGTTATTCCAAGTAGAGGAGGCTCACGATCGATAGCAAATCACAAATTTGCCATGGTAAACTATCAAATTAATTCATATTTAAATTAATATATTCAAGAAAAATTATTTTTTACCTTTACTTATATTAATCATTATTATTGCAGACAAATAAAGAGACTCAGATGCCCCCAGCCCAATCGAATTATATCATAAGTTGTATTTTGATCCTATAAACAAATTGATAAATGATGAGTCACGCATTCAATACGTAAGAATGATTTCTTGACTAATATTGATTTTTAGTTATAATATATTGATATTGGTGTTATAAGTTATTATAATATGTTTTTATGTTGTATTAGGAAAATATTCTCCAACTCAAGGAGGAAGAATGCGCCAAATTCGTTTCGGCGGGAACAAGCATAACTCAAGAAATGGAATACGACATAGAGAAAAAAGTCATTAAAACTATTTGTGCCAAACATAAAACATTACTATCTGGATGGGAGGCTTCAAGTGGACCTGTTATGAGGAAAAAAGATATACATCTCTTATCAACCGCAGAAACATCTCAATCAGCCTCAAAAGACGAAGAAGATATGAAAAGTAAGATTTTTGCACTTGAGGAGGAGGTTCGAATAAACGAACAAAAAGTCAAACAAAGTGAGGAAAAATGTGAAAAATGTTCCAGTTTATTATCTCGAAGTTCCCGGATTCTCAAAACATATTATGTCCACCCGATGAAGATGAAGCCCGTGTGTACGATGACATAACAGATCTATCAGAGCAAGCGTAACATTCTTGACCGTTCATTAAAATTTGGAACTTCTTTCACGTATGGTTTAGTTATTGACTAGTTTCTTAGACATTTTTGTTTGTTGTTTTAAATTTGGATATGATGTCCAAATTACAATTTATTTATCTAGTATTAGTTCATTTGGTGTATTAACAAGCGCATTGTTTATATTAGTCACTATAAATGTTAGTTTAAGACTAAACTTTGGTTTGAAACTATAGCAGGTTAGGGACCGAATGACATTATATTTGAGACTAGTATTCAGTCACTGCTGGAAAATCAGGTTAGGGAGCAAATGACATTGTATCTGAGACTGATATTCAGTCACTAAAAATCTAGGTTAGGACTAAATGAAATTCTATCTAAGACTGACATTCAGTTACTGAAAAATATGGTTAGGGGTCGAATGAAAATGTATTTGAGACTGACATTCGGTAACTAAAAAATCGGGTTAGGGACTGAATGAAAGTGTATATGAGACTGATATTCAGTCAATAAAAATCAGGTTAGAGACAGAAGATGATAATATTTGAGACTGATATTCAGTCTTAAATAGATATTATCAGTGACTGATATGACTTGAGTAAGGATTTTAATGAAGCGTATTGGAGACTGAATGATATAGTATGTAAGACTGATTTTTAGTCCCCAAAAGTTATATCAGGGACTGATCTTATATGAAATCGTGGATTTAAAGAAAACACATTTAAGACTGAATTTGATATTATTAGAGACTGATTATCTGTCTTTGATACTATTACATATTAAGGACTGATTTTCATTTCGGGATATAAAAAAAACACTATCTAGGACTAGGTTTCTGGGACTAGCTTAGGACTAGCGAAATCGGTCCCCGATTCTCATTAGAGACTGATTATTAACCATCAAAGACTGAATATGTCAGTCTCTGATGCCCCTTTTCTTATAGCGGTGAATTCCTCATAGAGACATCGTAGGCTAAAAGAAATATTTCCTGGAGCAATAGGTGTGTTAGATGGAACTCTTGTACATGCAGTTGTGCCTGCTGATCAACAAACTCGCTACAGGTGAAGTGGAAAAGGTGAATGCTTTCAAAATGTTTTAGGAATTTGTGATTTTGATATGATATTCACATTCGTATGGGCCAGTTGGGAGGGTATAACACATGATTCGCAAGTTTTGAAAGAAGTTGCATTTAACCCGACTTCAGGCTTTCCGTTTCCTGCTCCAGGTTTGTAATTCTTTTTAAATTTATTCTAAAATACGATTTTAAATTTCTATATATAATACTTCCTTCACTCATGTGTATAGATAAATATTACCTTTGCGATGCTGCATACACCAACACTCGTGGATTTATGACTCCTTACCGCAACACGAGGTATTCGTTATCTGATTATCGACGGCGACGTGCGTTAACTAAGGAAGAAAAATTCAATTATGCACATGTGCAACTCAGAAATGTTATTGAACATGCTTACGGTGTTTTGAAGGCGAGATTCCCAATCCTAAAGCAAATGACTCCTTTTCCTTTTTCCGTGCAAAGAGATATAGTCGTTGCTTGTTTTGAAGTCCACAATTTCATAAGGAAATGTGATATTCATGATGAGTTATTTATGGCGTTCGAAGAGAACAATGGTCAAGCACAAGGGGGGAGAATGATGGCCAAAACGTACACGATATGGAATGCGGTTCACAAGGCAATGCATACATGGATAATTTGCGTGGCCAGATTGCGAATCAATTGCGGTCAAATTAAATTTGTAGGATTTTATTTGGATTTTAGTATGATTTTGTGGATTTAAAAATATTTATGTTTGATTTGGATTTGTGTTTAATTTTGATTTATGCTAAATTTGGATTTTATATGGTGTTTATATTTTTTTAATACGTATTTAAGAAATCTATTATGTTATTTTCTAAACAAACACTTGAATTCAATAAAAAATAAAACAGAAGGGTAAAATGTTCATTTCAATAATTTAGCACAACAATTTAGAGGTCCCAATCAAACAGCATGTTAAACATTCAGCTCTTAAAATTCCAGACCCTCTTAGAAATTCAGATCTCTTAAAAATTCAGATCTTAAAAAAATTCAGATTCTGCAAAACAGCCCCTAACTCCACAAACTCATATGCCAAAAAGTCAAGGGGACACATTTGGTAAATGACAAGACTAAAACTAGAAAATTTTGTAATGCTATGGCAATTAATGTTATATATATATATATATATATATATATATATATATATATATATATATATATATATATATATATATATATAGGTATGTTCAAATGAGAACAATTCTAAATTTGAGAACAAATGAGAACAATTTTATACCACCTATTCGTTAAATGAAGAAAAAAAGTGTGTCATTTATGTTTTACTTAGAGGAAGGGCTTATGTTTAATTTAACATTTCTATTCTCCATGCTTTGCTTATTCTCGCACAAAGCAGCGACACCCCACTCCGATCCTTCCCTCCGCCCAATACCGCCTACTCCCGTTAATCTGAAAGACACCATCAGTCACTAGCAGAGTTTACCACCACTGGAATCGAGAAGCTGATTTTTGATGAAATCAAGAAGATAATTGAAGTATTGGATCGATCGAAAAAGGGAAAGGAGATGTCAATCGCTTAGATCGAAGGAGCTGAAGCCCTTGTTCTCATGGAAAATTTCTGATAATCAATCACCAGGTGAGTACACTTATCGATTTGATTTCACAAGTTACTCTCAATTAATTATGAGAAAGAATCCGGTTAACTCTTTTAGATTGGATTCATAGATTGGTCTAGGGCTTAGTGGAATCCTATTATCAACACCTAACTTAACGCTAGTTAAAAAATCGACAAAAATGGGATCCTTATATGGTGAAAGTTAACATTGAGGAAGAGTTTTTGGTGTCACACACCAACTGTTTGATAAAAGTCCTCTTAGAATTTTTCATAGTGGAGTTGGATTCATGGATTGTTCTAGGGCTTAGTGGAATCCTATTATCAACACCTTAACTTTGAACCCTCATTAAGCCAAACATTAAGGCCCTTAGGTTAAATTGAATTTCACATCTCTATATAAGCAACCAACAATCATGTTAAAAGTGATAAACTTAAGGCTTAACCATTAATTCCTTAATAGAACACCAAAAACGATTTAGAAGATATTATGATCAATTTTCCCAAATCTGTCCTCCAACTTCTAAAATCCGTGCAAGTCAATACGAACATCTAAAAATCACGAGACTTAGTTTTCTGGAAATCTTAGTGTGTCTACTTTCTTCAAACTTTGAATCACATTTCGAAATTCCAAATCCTTGAGGGGTAAAATTGGCAATCTTCTCAGGCTGGTCCATGCTGTCACAGATTTCATGCACTGTCTTCAAAAAATCATAATAAATTCATCAGAGCTCCAAATGTCAAAATTCCAAAGCCTATAGTTAGATATGGATGTATAGTTTCCAACATATAAAGGGACTGATGTAATTATTAGTATATTGATACAGTTTATTCAAATAGTGTTGAGTGGTCCAAAAAATGACAGCTAAAAGTTACCAACTTGTAAATTTAATATAAAATAAGCCAAAAATCATTAGAATGAGATCTTTATATTTCTGAAAAGATAAAAGGGGGAACTTTACCAGTATAATTTTATCAAAATTTAAAAATGGGTTGAAAGGTAAGAAAACATATCCCAACCAGTGGACTACAATCAAAGAGAAAATAAGGAAATATGTACATAAGTTTTATAAGATTAATACAACAAACACAAGGTAAATAATGTTATAATTTTTGTGTAGGTTCTCAGAAAGGAAAGGATCCATCTTGCTCATGCTAGCTAATTTTCAAGATCAATGAGGTGAGTACTAACTCTCCTATTATGTAGGCATTACTTGTTTTATGTTATTGTTCACATATACCCTAATAACATGTGATTATGTGTATCTAATGACATATGATTTATGTGGCTAAGATCCTTTTCGTGTTATCGATTCAATAATCATTTTTTTCCACTTTAATCATATGTGATTAAATACATTTAATCAGATGTGATTATATGTTTCTAATCACATATGATTTTATTTGAAAAAAACAAATCTTGTCTATTTAAATCAAATGTGATTAGATACATACAATAACATTTAATTATATATGAACGCGAAAACAAATCTTTATCCAAATTAATCATATATGATTAAATACATATAATCATATGTGATTATATGAATCTAATCACATATTATTTAATTTTTGCTTTGTCGATTCATTAGTTGTTCTCATGTATTTTATCACATGTGATTATATGTATAATCATATGTGATTAAGTACATGAGCACAACTATTTAATCGAGAAGGAAAAAATAAATCTTGTCCACCTCAAATTATACGTGATTACATACATATAATCACATGTGATTAAATATATTAGAACAATTATTGAATCGACGCAAGAATAAGTATTTTCCATACGAATCATATGTGATTAAATAAATATAATCACATGTGATTAAATACACAAGAACAACTATTGAATCAACACGTGAAAACAAATATTGTCCATGTAAATCATATGTGATTAAATACATATAATCACATGTGATTATATGTATCCAATTATATATGATTTATGTGGATGAGATTCATTGTCACATTCTCGATTCAATAATTGTTCTTTGTCCACTGTAATCATATGTGATTAAATACATATAATCATATGTGATTATATGTATCTAGTCACATATGATTTATACGGACAAAAAATAATGATGTCTATATAAATCCTATGTGATTAGATACGTATAATCACATATGATTATATACACAAGAACAACTATTGAATCGAGAACACAAAGATAAATATTGTCCACATATATCATATGTGATTAAATGCATATAATCACATATGATTATATGTATCTAATCACATATGATTTATCTAGACAGGATTCATTTTCACGTTCTCGATTCAATAATTGTTTTTTTCCGCTTTAATCATACGTGATTAAATACATTTAATCAGATGTGATTATATGCTTCTAATCATATATGATTTTATTTGGAAAAAACGAATATTGTCTATATAAATCATATGTGATTAGCTATATACAATCACATGTGATTATATACACGATAACAAATATTGAATCAAGAATGCGAAAACAAATCTTTATCCACATTAATCACATGTGATTAAATACATCAAATCACATGTGATAATATGAATCTAATCACATATGATTTATGTATCTAATCACATATGATTAAATATAATTAAATACTTATAATCATATGATTAAATACTTATAATCACATATGATTAAATATATGAGAAAACTTATTGAAACGAAAACTCAAAAATGAATATCGTTTATATAAATCATATGTGATTGGATACATATAATCATATGTGATTATATGTATCTAATCACATATAATTAAAGTTGACAAAAAAATAATTATTGAATCGAGAGCGCGATAATGACATATGCGATTAAATATATCTAATCACATTTAATCACATGTGATTATATGTATCTAATCACATATGATTTATGTGGAAAAGATTCATTTTCACGTTCTCAATTCAATAATTATTTTTTGTCCATTTTATTCGTATTTGATTAAATACATTTAATCACTTGTGATTAAATACACGAGAACAACTATTGAATCAAGAACGCGAAAACGAATCATGTCCACATAAATCACATGTGATTAAATACATATAATCACATTTGACTAAATACACATGTGATTATATGTATCTAATCACGTATGATTTATGTAGACATGATTTATTTTTGTATTCTTGATTTATTTGTTGTTCTTTTACAACGTTAACCATATGTGAATATTGTACATATAAATCATATGTGATTAAATACATTTAATCACATGTGATTATATGTATCTAATCACATATGATTTATGAGGACATTGTTCGTTTTTGCTTTCTCGGTTCAATAGTTGTTCTCATTATTTAATCACAAGTGATTAGATTATATGTATTTAATCACATATAATCATATGTGATTAAATACATATAATCACATGTGATTGTACATATAATCACATGTGATTATATGTATCCAATCACATACGATTTTTGTGGAAAAGATTCATTGTTACGTTCTCGATTCAATAATTGTTCTTTGTCAAATTTAATCATATGTGATTAAATACATGTAATCACATGTGAATGTATTTAATCATAAACAACTTTTGTCTATAGATTATATGTGATTACATACATATATAATCACATATGATTATATACACGGGAACAATTATTGAATCAAGAATACGGAAACAAATATTTTCCATACAAATGATATGAGATTAAATACATATAATCACATATGATTAGATACACGAGACCAACTATTGAATCGAAAATGAGTAATAAATATTATCCACATAAATCATATGTGATTAAATAGATATAATCACATGTGATTATACATATAATCACATGTGATTATATATATTTAATCACATATGATTTATATAAACAAGATTCGTTAAAAATAAATATTTTTCAAATAAATCACATATGATTGAATACATATCATCACATGCGATTAAACTATATGTGATTAGATACATATAATCATATATGATTAGATACATATAATCACATGTGATTATATGTATTTAATCACATATAAAAAAGTACATAAAATCACACATGATTTATGCCATTATATGTATTCAATCACATACAATGTTAGTGGCTATAGGTAATGGGCGGTGGTGATAGGTGATGGTGGTGGGTTGTGGTGGCGAGTGGTAGTAGTGTTGGTTTTGGTGGTTGATGGGTGGTGGGTGGTGGTTGGGTGGTGATGGTGGTGGGTGGTGGTGGTGGTGGTGGTGTGGGTGGTGGTGGGTGGTGGGTAGTGATGAGTGGTGGGTGGTAGTTGGTGGTGGTGGTTAGTGATGGGTGGTGGTGGCGCGTGGTCGTGGTGGGTGGTGTTGGTTGGGTGGTGAGTGGTGTTAGTTAGTGAGTTTTTTAATTGTTTGTAATTATTTTTTGATTTATATGAATATTATTTTATAGTTTTAATTAAAAAAATTGTGTTTTTCAAATTTGTTCTCGTGATAAGAAATGTTCTCGATTGAACGCTCCCCTATATATATATATATATATATATATATATAATATATATATATATATATATATATATATATATATATATATATATATTGCTCTTTCCCCGCTTCACGAAGGAAGTAAGTTGGGAATCTACTTATGTTTGCTTTGATAGATATTTTATGTAAATTACATAGACAATTTTGTTAACTTATTTTTTTTACATAGGGACAAAACATACCACCATATGAAAGGATTGTGACCAAAGTCGAAAACCCAAACGTAAAAAAATGGACAAGATATTTTCTATAAATTATAGGGATAACTTTTGTAATTTATTTTTTACATAAAGACTAAACTTGCTAACATACGAAACTATTATGGAAAAATTGTAAAAGCCAAAAGTATTGTGACAAAAGTGTAAGAAGCAAACATATATATTGTGGCAAAAGTGTAAGTATGGTGACGAAAGTGTAAAAGCAAAAGTATATATCGTGTCAAAAGAGTAAAAAGGAAAGTATGGTGGCAAAATTATAAAGTCTAAACTTTACTATTGCTAATAACTTTTGGTTTAATATATAGTATAATTAAAATTGGGGTTTCATGTGTAATTAAAGTTAAATAAAAAAATGTTCTGTGAAACTGGTTACTCAGAGTTTGGGTATGAATAAATACATAACGACATTGACCATTCTAGAATATTATTATATTTATTCAAATATTTATGTATACAATTTTTGTTCTATCGTTTAACATATAGAATCAAGAACATGTTAGGCCTTGATAAAGGAATACATGTAAAATTATTGACTAATTATTTTATTATTTGATTTTTATTTTTGAACTAACAATAATCATTTCCAAACAATTACTTCAAACCTAATATAAATGTCCGAATCTCCATAGGAGCAAGCTCAACAACCAGAGCCGAAGGATCAACGGGCCCACCTCTAACCGGTGCCACCTCACCACCACTTCCACCTTCGACCTTCCATCTCATCTTTTTTATAGCCGACTTATCTTGGTTTGCTGATAAACTTGTTTCTTGTATCATTTTAATCTGTAAAATTAACACAACTCATAGTTTATAACATGACCAAAAATTAGGTAATTTTACAACTTTTGGCATATATTGGTGTACCGTTTTCGCAGCAAAAAGTTTCTTCAATTCGACTTTGACTAAGGTTGACAAGGCAACATCTTCACCAACCTAACAACATTCATAACATGAACAAGTTGATTTCAAAAAACTAAATCATTAAGACATCATTAATGAAAAAATCGAGGATTTATACCAAAGTCGTTAAAGTTAACAACACTTTGATTGGTGTTACCTCATATAGATGGGCTAAACGAAGGAGCACACTTCCGTCCTCTAATTCCTGAAGTGTAATTAACGCGACATTTGGGGGTAAAATATAATTTGGATCCATCGTTGTTGATCTTGTTGAGTGAGAAGCTTTATAATCTTTTTGTTTCTGTAGGGTAAATAATTGTTATTTGTTAAGCCACATATTGAAACAAACTATCACTCCCTGAAAGTGTCCCATTATTTTCTATTATATATTTTAAATATCGTTTATCCAGACAACACTTTATTCAGACAGATAAAAAACAGTATACCTCATGTGCAAAAGCTAAGAGGAGGGGAGAATAAATCTCTTGGCCCGTTGTTCTACGCCACCGCGATCCGCTTCCAACCGCATTGGCACTCATATAATAATTTCCTCGAACCTAAACCATATTTTGTTTTAAGGTTTTAATATTCATTTGATTTTATCTGCTTTTAATTTCTGGGTCCCATCTGAGCAGATGAGACCCAAAAATAATATTACAAACATACCGTAAGTCCTTGACACGTGGTTTTATTACAAATAGTCTCATCAAGGGCTTCACCCACTCCTCTACCATCATCATACAACATATGCCTTCACAAAATAAAAATATTTAGTAATGATTTTATGATTATTGAAAATGAGAAACACATGTGAGAGAGTACCTATGGAACATAATTTCCATTTGTCCATCTTTGATGCTGGCCCCACCAGTTGAACGATCAACAAGAACCGATAATTCGGTTTTGTTGTCTGTTGTGAATATTCCAAGATTTAGCTAAGAACAAAAAAATTTAAATGATATTTTAGTATCAAATATAATAATCTCTCATGTACATTTTTTTGTCACAAGGTTTAAAAAGTTACCGGATAATAGTTTCCGGCTATGGGTTGTGTAACTTGAAGAGGCCAGTCTTCTCTATAATCTCGTACCTAATAATAAATCACAAATTAAATACAATTTTATGAACACAAGAAAGACTTTCGTTTTGTATTTCTTTTTTTTTTTTACCCTTTTGAGAAAGTCTCTTCCATTAGAATCGGTATAGAACACCTTGTTAGTGGCCATATCGGCTGTAATTCTTGTAATGACTTCTTTTCCAACACCATCTTCTACAGGAATTGGACCGATCTACAATCAAGAAACTTTTGTTAAAATATATTCTTGTATATATAAAGTGTAAATTAATTATATGGGGAAATATGGAATGCTTACAATGAATTCAAATTCAGCGTGCTCTTTGTCTTTGTAAACTCTAGTCACCTGAAAACATATAATCGAAAGAATAATATCATTTTCTAAAATATTTTTTAAACATCATTTATTAGATTAATGAAAAAGATTAAGATTCTGACCTGATAGATCCATGAGTTGAACTGCTGATGAACTTCATCAACAAGTGGCCCACGAATGACTTTAATAGGTACAGATCTTGAAGCAATAGATGGGGGTGATCCATTAGGGTGGAAAATGTAAGCTCCCGAAGGCTATCAAAAGATACATATAAAATCCACATGTCAAAAATCCACTTCATCATTTTGTGGGACCCACAAAATGAAAACGACAAATTATCAAAACGAATGGATCTTGAATTATCGTACCTGAATATCAGCTTCACTACCATACCATAGATAGCTTTGTTGTATGGGTAAATCAATCTAGAAGGTCATATAAATAAGTTTAGTCTACAACCTTTCTTTCAAAATAAAAAAAATGTAGAGTTTTTTTGCTATGGATTTACCGATTTATTTATTTGTAACGATTAAAAATGAAACTTACCCCTGTTCTAGAATTTGTAATTCTTTTCAATTGTCCAGATTGTAAAGAAAACGACATCTTCAAGCTTCCTGAACCTATTTCAATGGATTCATCTTGTGGAGTGTCTACCGTGGATATATACCCTCCTGAGTTAAAGATTTTAGAGGAAAGAGACCCATAAATTTGTTTAGGGATATTTTCTAATATGAGAATATCTTTTACACAAATGGTTATTACATATATGAAAAAAGGAGTTATGGAGCGAGTGTTAAGTACCTTTACTAGTTGTTTTAGTGATGAAGTAAGTGTTCCAACCCAAAGGTGGCACAGATGCTTGAAACAAAAGCCAGTATTTTGGAACTTCTTTAGGTGAAATTCCCAAATAAGCCTCGGTGTAAAAGCTTCTTAAGTTTCTTTTTACATTATCGAACTCTATAAATTGTGTTTCGACTTTATTGCCCTTGTTGTCTTGGACTATGACGTTAGCATCTTTGACCTGTTAAAAAGTCATGCAAAAAGATTATTAGTATTAGTCATTAATAACCCTGAATTTTTGAACAAAAGATCGCATAAAAATGGTTCGAAAAGTATAAAAAAAAATGGTGAACTTATAAAACTCACGGGTATCCTGATTATATCTACACGATTCCATCCAAGAGGGTTATATGCGACAACAACCTGAAAAAAAACCAAACCCAATATTTTAAACATAAAAAAAAGTCGGAATTCTTTATTCAAAATTTCAAATTATCATAAAATTTATAATCGTTGTATATTACCAAACTTTTTCCAGAAGGAATGTTCTCTGTTGGTGGGCAAAAGCTTATATTAAGTAACGGACACTGTCACATGTTATATAAAAAAGAACTATATATCAAACCTTGTTATTTTCATTAAAATTTCAAAATTAATTAAAACTCGTTTTCATGAAAAATTTGAAGCATTACCTGAGTAAATCTTGATATGGGACTGGTGGAATTAATGCTTCTCGATTTAGAGGTGGTAAGATCTGATAAAGCTAAATTGACAATAGCCTCAGCCTATTGAGAATTAAAGAACATAAATATATACACATAAATACTAAGAGTTTGATATAAAAGATTAATTAATTAAATGTTGTACCTCATGAGCTCCAATTGCTAAACGTTTTTCATAATCATTTGTTGTATGTTGTTTAGCAGTTCCAGTAACAGCGTCATGATGTTGTGCGATTCCTAAAGCATCTCCAAGACTGAAAGTGTTGGGACCTTTTGTTCGCCTTCCTGCTAGGTATTCTAGCTGCCTTGATGCCTAAAAAATGGTGTAACATTTATATTATTGAAATTTAAGTTGCAATAATCAGTTTCGATTGTTTAGGTTAAATTGTTATGATTACGATTTTCTGATTATTTAGGATCATAATAACCGAATTTAGAGAATCAGATAAGAAATCGCTAGAAAATTGAATATTGAAAGAAACACTTTATTAGATAAACATAAACATAATTCGTTTTCTTACCAAATAATATCCACTCAATGAACGTATGTATCCTTTCAAAGCTGGACGACTAGTAAAGTAACCTGTCCAATAAGAATCTCCACTATCTGCATATCTACACACAAGAAATAAAATTTTTAAATATAATTGATTTCTTTAATGATTAAAAAAATATCTTTATGAATAATCTCAAGAAGCTCACGGAAAATAATCATGGGTTTTTAGTGGCCAAGACACATTTGAAGCAAGTTTTGCATCCGTGTAAATAGATGGAGTGGAATATAACGCGTTCACTCTCCCATCCTATGATTATGAACATATTTAAATTTAATTTTGAAGTCGAGTTTTAAATTGTAAACATAAAAAATGGAGAAAAAAAAGGGAATTTAAATTTTAAAGTATACCTTGTTAACATAGTGAATTAGTTTGTCCATTTGCTTGAACCAAGATTCTGCATATTGGTATTGAAAGTCGTCTCCCATTGTCCACATAATATGGTTTGTTCTTGTGACATTTGCCTGTTTGTTTTATTTCCAAAAATATTATTATTTTGTGGTAAAAAAACTTTGAAATAAAAAAGAAAATGCTTACTTGAGTTAGTGCAGCATCAATGAAATCATTAACTCTTTTCTCCACATTTCGGTCAAACAGAAGAGGGTTGTCCTGTGATTTCATCAAGATAAAATAAAATCTTTTCAATATAAAAATACAAAATCTATACGAAGGGGAATAATTTGGGGTTAAATTCAATTAATAGCAATATATATACTTTCATTGATTCGTTTTATTTTAGCATTTTACTTTCTTAATCTTCCTATCATAGCATTCTACTTAAAAATATATCGGATTATAGCAATGTCATCCAAATACAAAGCAAATATTTAGTGATGTAAATGGGTATATTCTCATAATATAATGTCCTACTAACAAAAAAATGAAAATAAATGCAAGAAACAACAACATACTTTCATTTATATATTTATTATAGCATTTTACTTTTAATTTTTTCTTATTAAAAGATTGTACTTTGAAAATTCCACCAAATTAAATAAACATTATTCAAATACAAAGAAATTTTCAAAGATGTAATCGGGTTACTTTTCCAAAGTACAATATCAAAATAAGGAAGACATTAAATAGAATGCCTTAAGTATAAGAAAAAAAATTCAAATGTACAATGTTGTAATAGAAATAAATGAAAGTATGATGCCAGTTAATTTTCAAAGTACAATGCCTTAGAAAAACAAAAGCACAACGCCATAAAAAGAAAAAATAAAATAGGATGCTATTAAAAGCAAATAGACAAAAGTACGTTGCTATTGTTAGAAACATAACCTGAATGGGCTCAAAGTCTCCACTAACTTCAAAATTAAAACCATCCGGCGCGCTATAATGTCTAGGAAACGCGTTTGTAAAAATTTGAGAGGATTCACCAAATGTTTTTGAGCCACGCCATATCACTTCAAGGCTTTTATCAACCTTCCTCTTTGCTCTATCTTGATAATCAATACGTGCAAAATGCAATGAATCAAACCCGAGCTACATCAACATTTAAAAAAAAATCATATAAGTATATAACAAAAATAAAATTAAAAATAGTAACATCAAGAATCTTGAATTATTGAATTATTATATATACCTCGGCTCCTAAAAGATAAGCTTGAACTGCCGAATGCCCGAATGGATCAATTTGCCAACCGGCTCGAGGAGTTACATTGAAATTGTACTTTATTAAAGCATGACCTAAACTTGTTTGATCAATCATGTCTATGTAATGTGTAGCTGCTTCATCATGCATACACCACCCTCCATTTCTGATTTAATTAAAATATTTAGATCATTAGAAAGAAGTGTTTTTAGTAGCTAAAGATTAGTGATTAGGGAAATAAATATATATAAAGATTGTACACGAATTCTAATTGGCCTTTAGTAACGAGTTTTTTCACTTGGGTTTTGATCTTCTTGCTTTGTAATAGCCACCATCTTTGGAAAAAGGCCTGAAATGAAATTACGTTTAACCCATTGTTTAGTCTTAAGGTTAGTTAGGTAATTTTACTTTTTTTTTTTTTTTTCTCAATATTTGGTTATCAATAATCAGTTTAAATGCACATCAATACACCAATCAATGTTGACATCTGCAGCATTTATTAGAATTTATGTGTCTCTTTAACTCTAGGAATACAATTTAAACTTTATTTTTTCCAATCATACCATAAAAATCATTTTGGTTTGATATAACATATCGTAATGGTTAGTTTGGAAAATTACTGGTGAAATATAATATAAGTATATAACAAATCAAAATCGTTGATTTGGAAAAATGTAAAAAAAAAACTTTTATGGTTTGATTGAAATTGTTCTTAATTTTATTAGATTACATCAAATGAGGTTTATACCATTTCCGCAAATATGAACTTCCTGTTTGAATCACGGAGTAGTGACATGACAACTGAATCGAGCACATTTTCAACACAAGCACCCTATAACAAAACATCATCAAGAACACATTCAATTTCAAGTGAAATCATATAATATAATCAATCTGTATGAATCGACATTTTAACTTAAAATTCAAATATATGAACCTGTATACTGTTATTCGATCCAATAAAGTACTGATCAACTGTCTTCAACCAACCGACATCATCATGTGAATGTGGAACTAAGTGAACATTCAACTTCCCTTCAACAATCCCACTTCCAGTTTCATACCCAGAAATCAATTCACAAGAAAGAAGAACACAAACTACAAATACCCATGAAAAAATGGGAAATTTTAACGAATCAGACATCTTTTTCGTCATATTCAGAAAGCCCTAATTGAAATCATCTATTATCCATCCGAATCCGCTTGATGTATCTTCTTAATCCAGATATATAATGTAATGCGCATATAATGCCAAGAGGAACAACTTTCTTGTCATTAATTTAGTGGGGTGGCATTGGCAAGTAATAAACATTGGTTTTCCCTCGGCCGGCGGTTTTACTCCACGATTGGAAGGAAAGATACAAAAAGAAGGTTATTTTGAAGAAAAATATAATACTAAACTTTTTGTGGGTATTTGTACTCTTTATGAACTCTGTTTAAAGGATTTATCTTCTCTAGATTTACAGTCACGTGTTGTCGGTGTATTTGGGTGAAGACTGAAGAAGGAAGTTGGAAAAATGTGGTTTCCAAGGATATGCTAATTGAGTCAATTGTCAGGAAATGTTTTATTTGGAAATTATTTATTTATTTATGAGTATTGATGAGTATTTATGACACATGATATACATCAAAACGATTTTTTTAATAATTATTTATAACAATTCAATCATCTTTTTGGTAAAATATCATAATGCATACTTTAAAGCTTTGTGAGTTTCAAACCCCGCAGATATAACGTAGAAAGTTTAATCATTATTTGTCTTTGTTTCTTATAGCATTAGATGCGGGCAACAAAACAAGATGCAACATCAAGTTGTGTCATCTCACATGTCACATAAGTAAGTGGTGTTATAACATCAAGTGGGGAAATGGGCAACAAGATACAACACCAACTTTTTGAAAATAAATATGTTTTCTTTTTTATTTATTTTTCCGAAATTGGGTTTCTTTTTTTTTTTTACTTTTTCGTTTTTTTTTTTACTTTTTCGTTTTTTTTTCTTTTTGCATTTTTTTAATCACTAACATGAATATATTTTTTATAAAAAAAATTTAAAAAAAAAAAAAAAAAAAGACATAATATTTAAAATCTAAAATTACGATTACAATTAAAAAAACATAATTTTAAACCTAATATTATAACTAAAATATCATTCAGATTACTACTAAAACCACATAACAATCCTAATTAACCCAAATATTTCTTCCTGATTTGTTCCTTCATCGCTTGTAGCACCGCTAAATCAGCAGGCGCCAAACCCTCCTCGCTCGTCCGAAGAATTGACAACTGATGTGTCATTAGTTCCCTCTCTTTTTGCTCCTGCTTCTCCCGTGCCTGCCTTTCCAGGAACTCCAAATGACGACGTTTCAACTCATTTTTTTCTTTTATTAATAAATTGTGCTCGTCGAATTTCGCTCTCATTTCCGCCGCATCTTTTGCTCTCGTCTCCACCTCCTCCGCATGTCTTGCAGCGCGCCTCGCTTTGTCGCGTCCGGGCGGTCGTCGTGGTGGGGATATCTCTTGGATATCATCCGGGATCTCATCGTCGTCGGCGTTTAGGTCGATGTTAGTCCGTGCGTCCGACACGTCGACCGAGCTAGAATTGCGAGACCTTTTGGATTGAACCTCCGACGATGTAGGCGTTTTATTCCACTTTGGATCCGCTCGCAACAATTCCCATGATTTTTCAAAGTCGAAAATATGACCCATTTCAACCCGATATTGTTCCTTAGCAGATTTGAACAAATCGAAGTCGTTGGTTCCGCTTTGTTGTTGCGCCTCAAGCCGGTTGTAAATACCGTTGAATTTGCTGCACCGCTTAGTTATCATACCCCATTTGCTGCTCAACATGTCATTGTTGCGATACAAATTTTTCTTTAAAATAGCGTGAAACTTGTCGAGCACCGCCCCCCAATAAGCTCCTTTTTTCATTCCATTTCCGCGAAGTTCGTTTTTTGAAGTAGCACACCAAGCCGCCGTCAAAGCGTATTCCTCCTCCGGTGTCCGCCATTGTGGAACGTCTGCATTTTCTGTTTCTACCGCTATTGATTTCCCTTTCGATTTTCCTTTCCCTTTCCCTTTCTTACTACTTCCCGCTTCCACTTGAACTGATGGTTGTATTGTAGGCGATGGTTGGTTGGTTGTTTGTTGCATCGAACCAAAAGTAGAGAAAAGATTTTATTGTAAATTTGGGTTTTGACCAAATTGATTTTGTTGAACGTAAGGTGAGTTGGGAAATTGCAGTGGCGGTGAAGCGGGATTGAAAGCGGCGCCTTGGTATGGGATTTGTGGTGAACCTTGAGACGATAAAAGGTTGAAATAATTTTCATACCCCGCAAATCCGAGAGACGAGGTTGTGTTTGGGTTTGATGATGGAGGGGGGGTGTTTGGGTTTTGCTCCATTTTTTGAAATTTTAAGAAAATATGTGTATAAGATACAGAGAGAATGAGAGAAAGGTTAATAAAAATTTGAAATAAAATGAGTATATATATATATATATATATATATATATATATATATATATATAAAGGTAATTTTTTTTTGAATTTGACCGTTTTCAAACGGTCTAAAGTAACAACGATTATTTTTTTCAGCGTTACACTTCGTTTCCATGGCAACGAGAATCAACACAACGAGCAACAACGAGATGGGGGGGGGGGTGTGCAGCTCGTCGTAACGCCGTTGAGGGGTGCCACCTCATCCGCGTTTCTTCTCGTTTGGACCCGTACCGCATACTCTTACTTATCTTCTTTGCAGCGATCATCACTGTGTCTTCTTTCTTTCTTTATCCGTTTCTCTACATTGGGATCCATGTTAGATTTTAGGTAAGAATATCAATAAAAACTTAGGTTTATCTATGAAATACTTTTCAAAATATATGATTTCGACCTATAGTTTGGAGTATCGGGAAACCAATTTTGGGATGATCCTAGAAGAAGAAATTTCGATTTCAGACAAAAATCAGATAGTTCAACACAAAAGTACCTCTATTGTTTGATACTTGGTGAGACAGCAATTTGGCAAAGTAACAATATATTTTTCGTATATCACTCTGCAGAACCAAACATCTCTATATGTAGGAGAAGATGAAAATTAAAATCAGTTAATTTTGGAGGAAACATCACAACTGTTTCAAACAATTTTGATGGTTGGTTTTAACGGGAACTTAACTATCGGCTATGTTTATTACATATGGATTTGGTTTTGGGTCAACCGTTACCCCCACCCAACAACAAAGGTTCCAATGACCTTGCAACAAGAACACCGTTAGGGACGATGCCCCTTGGAACCCTACTAAGGGCGTTGCCCTCGATCCCCGTGAATCCGAGTTTATCTTAGCTTATCCGAGTATACACTCCATACCTCAAACCTTGGGTTATAGCCAAACATGAAGTTAGCATTTCTCGAGTTAATCTTGACTATACTAAAAGGATTGCTAGAAATAAATCAAAAACAATCCAGATTAATTACGGTGGACACTATATTGGGGAGACTAGTTGCCAAGGTTTCCATGAGCGGAGTTTGTAAATATATGTGCAAGTATGTTAAAGTTTTCAGTTTGGGGAATGTAGCTTTGAGTCTGTATTTCATAAAGATAATAGGGTGTTGAGTGAGCGTCATATTGATTGGTCTTTTGTAATGCTTATAAATCGTTTTACATCTTATGGACATCCCATGACCGGTTGGAACTTCTCAACCAACTCAGATGTAACTTGTTGATGAAAGTATCTAATGTAGTTCTTCCTGTAAGTAATCACGAGCCACCAGATTTAGGAATGGGAATCACTTTTATTTCTCAAACTAAGAAAAGATCAATTGATCGTAAAACAGAAAAACAAAAACAATTAATAGGCTAAAACTATCTGTGAAAAGGGAACTAACCCTTCACGATTATCCTAAACTAATATGATAATAACTAACTATTTTAAAACTAAGATAAGATAAAATACCTTGATTCCCACATGATTCCCTTCAATCAGATCCCATACCCGATATGGACGGGCCCGGGTCTTGACGAGGCCTAACTGCATCATCGTCCCCCACTTCGAAAGGACTCATCCTTGAGTCAAATGGATCGTCCAAATCAGGCAAGAATGGGGACAAGTCAGCAACATTGAACGTGGCTGACACATTATAGTGCCCGGGTAGATCTATCTTGTACGCGTTATCGTTGATCCGTTTCAACACTTTGAATGACCCATCATGTCACAACCAGGAAATTCTAATGCTTTTGTAAACATTAACAAGGATAACATTTGTAACTAAAACTTGAAAGCATGCATGATGTTTATTCAATGACAACAAAATTCCATCAAACACTCTATACAAACACTTCAAATAGTCAACAAAGGATTGGAAACCCTAAAAATCCCAGTTTAAGTCCAATATGGACTAGGATTTTCTTATTGGGCCTAATGGACCAATAAGCCTCCAATTTGACTAATTTGGGCTTAGAACCCTTAATTGGGCCCTAATTCAACCCACCTTCACAAGACTTGACATTTTGGGCCATATTGGGCCTAAAATGGAACAAACTACTCCAATAAGCCTTATTGGGCCATAACTAGCCTAATTAACCTTATTGGGCCATAACTAACCTAATTAGCTTTAATGGGCCATAAAACCCATTCTCTTATGCTAATTGGGTCGTGAACCATCCAAAGGAGCCCAATGGGCCGAAAACCTTCTCCATGAACCTCATAGTTTCGAACATAGGCTAGAAGTGGGCCAAAATTAATCCATACCTTCTTTCACTAGGCCCATTTCGGCCCAAGTAAAAAAAAGGGAAGAATAAAAAGAATTAAAAGGAAATTAGGAGAATTAAGGATGGTTAGCCACCTCCTTATTACATGGTGGATTTCCATGCATGTCATTTCACTCCTTCTCTCCTCTCTTCTTCTTCTTCTTCTCGGTCGAGGATCACAACCACACCACCATCTTCAAAATTTCTCTTCAAACTCTCTCAAGAACATCTCCTTCCTTCCTCCAAATTTTCGAGAATCATAAGAGCTTCAAGAAGGTTTTCATCCAAAAATCACTTCAAGTTACAAACTAGTGGTAAGATCTTGCAAACATACTTTCTTTCTACACTTAATCACTCTTCTTACCACCTTAAATTCTTGATCATACTCCCTAGAACTTTTCAAATCCGAAGGTCTCTTCAAGGAGCTTGCTAGGGCCGAAAAACCATACAAACCTCCTTCATCTTTGCTTCAAAACCGAAACAACAAACCCAATGTGAGTTCATATCCCCTTGTTTTCGGTTTTTACTTGTTTTTTTTTTTTTGGGGGGGGGGGGAGAATATAAGTGCTATGTGTTGATCTATGTTTGTATGCTTGTTATATGTGATTTCTTTGGGTTGTGTTGTGAACATATGATATTATTTGCTATATC